GTGTTGCCCTAACAGCTAGTCACAGTGGATAAGCTCACCAAAGCATTGACTTTCATACCTACTGTGGACTCTATTGACACCACCAGAGTCACTTGGCTGGTGTTTCAGAACATCATACTCAAGTTTGGATTACCCAGATCATTTGTTGTGGACCATGACCCATGGTGGTCCCATTCCTTTTGGAATTCTTTGGCAGCCTGCCTTGGTTCATCACTGAAGTTATCTTCAGTGCAACACCCTCAAACAGATGGGCAGACCAAGGTAGCTAATCAAACAATTGAAGTAATGCTGTGCACTTATGTGGAAGGGAAAACACATGAGTGGGCCAAATGGTTATGTTTTGTGGAGCATGCCTACAACTCCTCGCCTCAAGCTTCCTCCAGCTATTCACCTTACTTTTTGTTATATGGTTACCAGCCTGGGGGGCCTTGGGATGTCCTGGGAGGAACTGGAGCCCCCATTGGCTGGCCCACCTTAACATCCCCTGGAGCAGAGGACTTCCTAGCTGAGCTTCAGAGCCATAGGGAGGCAGCTCACAATGCTTTAGTTAGGGCTCAACATGCTCAAGCACAGGCTCACAACCATATGAGACAATCCACCTCTCACTGGGATATAGGGATGTCAGTGCTGATCCACCCACATTCACTGCAATTGTATGAATCCCAGGCCAACGGATGGAAACTTCTGCAATGCTGCATGGGCCCCTTTGAAATTATTGAAAAAGTCAATGACAACACATATTGAATTAGGCTGCCAGAGAACTATTGGATGCACAATGTGCTCAACATGGAGCACTTAAAACTCTACCACTTGTCCCCCATCCAGCTAGGATCCCAGAGGATGTTACCAGACCTATGGCCAGACCTTATCAAGGAGGAAGTGCAATGTATTGTGGATCACAGATGGAATAAACAAAAGAAAATTGTTGAGTACCAAGTACATTGGGTGGATTGCAGAGCAGACAAAGATAACTGGCATTCTGAAAAGGAGTTATGCAATGCTCAGGAACTGCTTTTGGAATATCACAAGCATGCTGGCCTGCAGAGAGGACTATGCCCTCCCACATGGGTTATCACTGCGGACAATAATACCCTCATGCTGTCAGCTCCAGAGATGGCCTTGCAGTTGCTACAAGGCCAGAAGGCAGTGCACCTTAGCTTCCATTTGGCTCCATAATTTTTTAAGGGAAGGCCTTACCTGCCAGCAGCAACAACCCTCTTAACTTCACACCACCACCTTCTCCCTTCCTTTGCTCACCTTCTTTCACAACAAAATCCTTCTTGCTCACCAGCCTCATCTCAGCATTCAAACTACAAACAGTCATCATCATCTAAGCCAAAAAATCCTTCTCCCTCCTCAGTGCAGATGACTCAGGCAATGACACCATTCCTTTTCTTCAGAACACCCTACAACACTGATTGCAGAGAGCTGTTGAGGATTTGATTGCATCCTATCCCCCTCATTTGGCACTAGATTGATTGTTCCCTGCTTCATCTTGCTCCTCTGCATCAAACTTCTTTGTTACAATGGATGATGCTTTCCCTCTCCTTGGGGAGGAAGAAGAAGATGAAAAACTATCCCTCACTTCCACAGGTCCCAGACAGAGGCTGAACATCAATCTGCCGATGGCCCAAATACTGCCCTTCCTGTGCTCAGATTATGAACAGTTTTACCTGCCTCCTGGACTGAATCATCTACTTGCTTCTCTTGGCATCCCCACTATCGCTCACCAAAAAGGGAAGAAAGGCAAGGAGAACATGTGTCTCCACTGACAGGATGCCTTCAAGAAGGATGTCCTAGCTCCGTACATCCTTACTAGGCAAATGGAAGCTCTGCTAAGGTGCTGGACATGTTTTGCTTGTGAAACCTGCTTCCAAGCTGGCTTGGGAACCTTATGCCCTGGACCACCAGCAGAGGAGATTAGCCAACTTAACCACATACTGGATGCCATGCAAGGGGACTACTTATGGTTGCAACCTCATCACGGATCATATCTGGCAGCTGTGCAACTTCTTGAAATAGTTCTCTTCTGTTGATCCCTGGATTACATGCAGCAACCAGCCTACCAAGCAATCCTGGACTGGGAGTCCAGCTTGGACATGATGGGATGGTGGGACTGTGTGAAGCTGGGAGACTGGGATGCCAGTGGCTTGCTTTGTCCCCATCCTTCAGCTTCTCCAATCGTGGCACTGGGTAACTTTGTTTGGCCTCCTTTCTTATCCAAGTACCAGAAGGACCAACTTGGACCTCCTTCTTTCAATATGCCCAACTGGTATTGCGCAGAGTTTCTCACACAGGCCTTCTGTACGACCCCTACAGGTCATCTGCCAGTTTACCTGAGCAATGTTCTTTACTCCCAAGACAAGAGTTGGTGAACCAGTAATGAGACAGCAACAGCTACGTTGGAACTTTCTCCACTCCCTTCTCCTGATGCTGTTCCCCAGCATTCCTCCCTAGGATTGGCAATGCAATCTGTGCATACAGGAACACCAGAGCAAACCCACTCTCCACCCCCTCTAACTTCACCTTTTCATCCATGGATGGACAATCCTTACATTCCACCATCACAACAAGCAACTCTTTATTCCCCTGCTGGCCCTCCCATTCATCACCATTTGGATACTGTCCACCCTTCCCAACGAGATATTTGTGATGCATTGTGGGTGCCTGGCTGGTCCTTGGAATGCTCCAGCAGGGACCATATGTGCTGGATGGACGATTGCAGCTGAGGGAACAACTTGAGCCATAACTGGACCAATCAGCACTCAAGCAAGCAGCATGGGGAATGAGTTGCTCCCTCTTCAAGGGACGGCTGGACATGGACACTGTCTCGCCCCATTGCACCCCTTCCTTCTAAAGGGATGCTACCCTCGGTCCTAGCTCTTCAGGATTCATGCTTCACCCCTGCAGCTTCAGAAGTGGGCCAGTCCATTTTATATGAGGATCCATGGGAGGCAGTGGCTCAGCCCGGGCCAAACATAAACAATCTATCTGAAGAAACCTCTTCCCGCTGGATCTCCTCGGGGACTCAGAAGGAAGCCAGAACTCCCTCAGCCTTGGGCACTCCTTGGGAGAAGGCACCTGGTGGCAATAGGGCAATTCCTCCTACTGCACCTTACCTTCACAAAAGTATGATCACACACCTTGTCACACAATATGAACTGATATCCAAAGCTCCCATACTCCTAATACCAGGGCCGTCTCAAGCTGACATTGACTCATGGCAAACCCAAATTGTTGCCACTGGGCAGCTCCAGCTTGTGGGGAACCAGTTTCATTGAGACCCAAAGGACAACCTCCACCACCTTCTTCTGCTGGACAATCTGATCTCAGTCATGCAGCTTTGGAGAGAGGAAGCTTTGAAGCGGCAGTATTCTCTTAAGTGGGTTCAGCAAATGCACATTCCCCAGGAAGAGTACTTCAAAGCTATATCTTACTGGGATTGTGCTATCAGTGAACTCCACAAGACTGAAGACATCATGGCCAAGTTCAAGACAGTAGCTCACATGTTGGATAATTATGCTAATTGGTGCTGGTCAGATCAAGCCTGCGCAAAGGGGCCCCATGTGGTGTTCAATTACCAATGTGCTGTGCAAGCACCTATGAAGGAATGCTGTCTCTCCCTGTGGGCTCACACTGGTTACTTCATCAATGATTCGTGTAACAAAGAGCCACTGGACGCTACACACTGCAAATGGATGGAAGAATTGTGGATCAAGGAAAACAAGCAAGCTGTAAAGGAGGGGCATGCCAGTGCTTACCTAGCAGTCCTCCTCTTCAAAGACCAAATCAGAGAATTGGGTCTTTCCCATAGCCTCAAACCTGAATCTGATGACAAACACCATCTCATTCTGCATGAGTATGCTAGCAGAAGATTTCTGGATGGAGAGGACAGCAAATAGGCCAATCTCCTATCTGGGGGGCTATTGTGATGATCACAGAACTGATGAGGTCATGAGAAGTGAGGGATAGGTCCTCAGCCTCTGCATAATTAGATTCTGCATATAGTCCTTAAGGCATACACATAGTACTCCCCTTTTCTCTCACTCTTCTTCCTTAGCCCATCATCGCCATTTGTGGAAGATGACAAGCTCAAGGACTGAGGTGTCCCACATACTCTCTGTATTCCTTCTGAACTGTAATCCTTCACCCTAATCTTTACCTTACCTTGCATCCTTACTGAAGTTGATCAATGAAGCAGATCCAATACCCTGAATGTCCCCCCACCATTACAGTATCATACACCATAGAGGCCAGAATTGTGCCTATATCCAAATTAGAAAGCAGTTGAATGAGTACTGAAAGCCAACATATGTATTTCATTCACACTGCTGCCAGGGCCACCTGCATCCCAGGCAGCCTTGCTTATCTTGTGTTTTGACATGTCACAAGAAGGAGTACCTGTCAAAACAAGGGTTAGAGTTGGCAAATGCCCAATTGCATGGTCTTACTATGTTTGTTTGCTTGAGAGTATGTTGTTTGCTTGCTGAAAGCTTGGACAGAGAGTATCAGAGATGGTTGAAGAGTTATGAGTTGCACAGGCAAGGGGAAGTCAGTGGAATCCCGCTGGCAGGAGATGAAGATGATGATGCTGTGCTGCATGTGATTAGAACAAGTGCCTTGCATGTTCCACATGTGAAGCCAGGGTTCACCCAAAGCTTGTTTCCATCATCTGCTCCTCATCACTCGCTTTTTTTTTGTCTGCCAAATATTGTATCCTTCTTGCAAGTGAAGGACATGATGGCATCTCCAACAAGATGTTCATGGTGCATGCACATATCTTAACTACTGACAAATCATCCAGAAGATAGGGGGAGTGGATTTTCCCCTAATCCATGCATGTGCCCAGATTAGGGGAAGAAGAAGGAATGCCCTCTAGCAGAATTCTGGCCTTGTGGCTGAGGGCTGTATGCCCATCAAATACGTGATTCCCTGCTGCCAACCCCAACCTCTCTTTCAATCAAACCACAACCAGAACAAAGAACAGCAAGATACGTACAATGGACAATGACTTCTCTACCAGCAGTGACATGAACAATAGGGCCTCCTCCATGCTCTTGAGCATGGAGGAAGGCTTGGCAGCAAGTCTGGACCCCGCAGGAGGAGGGGATAGAAAGGTGGGTCCTCTGGTCACTCAATGGCTTTGTTCTCATCCGTGCCTCTGCACCAGAGGCCCCCTCATGTGGTGGATGGGGACAAGCCCAAGGATGGGGCCCAGCTTGGATGGCACCATGTGACAGATGCCAAGTATGGCCTCATCATGGTGATGAGGATGCATGGGGAGCACCTCACAGCAGCTGGGTGTGCTGCCAAGGAAGAGGTGGAGTTGGGCACATTGGAAGCAGGCAGGAGCAGGACAGTGAGTGTCTTATTCAATCCACAATGACATCTGAGATGTCATTGTGTCCCTGGTTGACCCAGGGAACATGACAACTGAGATGTCATCATGTCCTTGGTATCACACAAGCTGATGTTTACACAGAAAGAAACTGATGATGATGCTGAGCTTGCCATGAAGGACCAGCTTGGCAACATGGCATATGCTGGCTATGTGATGTGGAAGACCTTCAGGGGTGACATCACTGTGATGTTTGGAGCAGTCCATGGGGCAATGAAGAGCCCCAAGAAGACAAAGAAGTTGGCTGGCCAGCAAGCTCTGCTCGCCCTGATGATCTGCTGGGGCTGGATGCTGTATGCTCTGGGGTGCATGGCCATGGCACTGAAGGACTTTGCTGCTGAGCACAAGATCAAGCTCAGGGTGATGCTGGGTAAGTGGTAATGTTGTTTTTGTGGTGGTGATAGACTGACAAAGACTCAGTCCTCAACATTATTCTTCTGGCTCGTGGTGTGACCCCCTACACAGTGTTCATAGACACCATTGATAGCTTCAAGAAGAACTGAGGCCAAGTGCAAGACGGTGGAGGGTTGTGGTGGTTGTTGTCAGTCTGTCCTTACATGTAGCAACAATAGAATTGTTTTCTCCCCACTGCAAAGAGATTAATGAGGGACACAAAGACATCTCACATTGTTGATCCATTGTCAGCTTACCTACACCGGGAATGAGCATCAGGCAATAGCCGGTCCTCTGTGTGGTAAATCTTATTTTCATTCCCCGCTCCATATCTGCATGACTAATTCAAAAATATGTAATTTGACACGGAGACCACTGCTTGGGTCTACGGGTCTACTAGGGTGCTGTCCTCTTGGAGCTTTGTCGAGGGGAGCTGTCCTCTTAGGCTTTCCATAGACAACAAGTGAAAGGTGTTCATTGCAGAACCCTTTACTTGCTTCTTTTTTCTCTGCGCCTCGTGTCCAGGGTTTGCCTTGCGCTAGACGCCCACCGAGTCGCCGAGTGTGTGAATATATATACACGGCATCCATCAGACGAATCAGAAGTCGGAAATGCACTGTCAATAAAGGGTTGAGCGTCGTCAGTCGCCGCCGGAGAGCGTCGTCAGCCTCAACTCGAGCTCCTGTGAAGTACTGTGACTCTTGTCTGACTGTTCTGCTCCCATTCCCCAACACCTTAACAACTCAGCTTGCGAGTTATCTGTAAATGCGCCCCATGCTCCCCCCTGAAAAAGAACAGGCGCCCACCTCGGCCGAGCTGGTCGCTCAGTCCCTTCCCCCAAAGAAGGACAAGGTCGGCTTGCTCGTGACGAAAGAGTTGGACAAGGCGATTGCACGATGTCGGGAGAAGGTGGAGAGGATCTCGAGAGATTGTAGGAAGAGGAATAGGAGGTTTAGGGATTTGAGCTTTGATGTTGAGGAGGATAGGGAGAGGTGCGTTGGTCTTTCCTGGCTCTGTGTGGGGAAGCGCTTATTCCACCGTAGGTGTTTGCATGGCCTAGCCACACCGCAGACACAGAGGTTCAACCCCTCGGACGTACTGCGCGCCGGGCAGATATTTGACAAGCCAGAGTTCTTCATCGACGGCGTCACGTCGGGCGACATCGTCCAGGGCGATCTGGGAAATTGTTGGTTCCTGAGCGCGTTGGCTACGTGCGTCGAGCTTGACTGTCTGTAGCGTGCAACTGACAGGAGGAAAGGTTTACGTGTTACCCGGAGTTGGTCGAGAAGGTATGCGTCAAGGTGCTTTAGTAGATTGTTGGGTTGTGGAACAGTGCTCATGGGAAGGCAGCGCGATGAAGTTGTCGGCGTCTATGGGTTCATCTTCTACCGAGATGGCGGATGGGTGGACGTGATTATCGACGAGTGCGTCCCAGCAGCTTCAGGATATTACAGTGCTAACCCCGTTCTCCAGCCTGCTCTACGTCAACGTCCCTAAGTACGAATCGCTCACTCAAAAAGAGCGTAACTTGTACCATAATGACAAGGGATTGTATAACAAGACGGCGAGGAAGGGAGGGAAGACGCTCTATTTTGCCAGATCGGGGACAGAGAACGAGACTTGGGTGTGCGTATGTTTTACACTGGATGACGCCCCAGCTAATGTGATGTAAGCCCTCTCATCGAGAAAGCATATGCGAAGCTACATGGAGATTACGCAGCTCTCCTCGGCGGGGCGGCGGCTGAAGCGCTCGAAGATCTGACGGGCGGGGTGTCCACCTTGATTCATATGAACGACATCCTGGACATCGACGAGTTCTGGCAGAACGAGCTCTTGAAGGCGAACGACGACCGGCTTTTCGGCTGCTACCTTTCCGGCCTAGAAGCGCCGGTGGATAGCGACGACGGGATCCCGACCGTGAATGGGCTGATCGTCGGTCATGCGTACTCTGTGCTGAGGGCAATAGAACACAACGGGCGACGGTTTGTGCGTGTGCGAAACCCCTGGGGATCCAGCGAGTGGACGGGCGCTTGGTCAGACGGGTCAAAAGAGTGGAATGGAGAGTGGCTCGCTGCGCTGCCTGCGCTCAAGCATACGTTTGGAGACGACGGCGAGTTTTTGATGAGCTACGAGGACTTTTTGAGCACATTTTGGGTTGTGCATCGCACGAAGGTGCTCGACCCCACTTGGAAGCTGAGCAGCCATTGGCTCGAGGTCGCAGGGAGGAAGTTCCCCGCGACTTGGAATTACGGTGATGTGTCTTGTACGTCATTCAAGATATTTTCTCAGAAGGAATGCTGACGATGCTGTAGTCACTTTCACCATGCCCAAGTCTGGTCCGACGATCGTCGTTCTCACCCAGCTGGACACTCGTTACTTCCGCGAGCTCGCTCCCTGGACGCGATGGAGTTTTGACTTTGCGCTGTTTAAGCGCGGGGAAAAGGATGTCGTCGCTGTATCGCATCATGCCGCTATCTGGACGCGCAGCGTGAATATTGAACTGGACCTGGAGGAGGGGGAATATGTGGTACATGTTAGGTTCGACAGGCGGATGGAGAAGAACAAAGTAAGATCGTGGGCATTCAGTCGAAGTATGTTTAACATGGGCCTACTAGGACTATGTGTCCGAGAACATCTCTGGATGGAATCCGAGGAAGCTTACGCGAGTGCTCACAGAATGTGCCACAGCTCAGATGATTGCCGTCAGTGAGTCCGATCAATTTATGTGTGCTGCGTTCGAAACTAAATGAAACCTCTAGACTTTGATCCTAAGTGAGTGACCCCACGATTATTCTACTCCCCCTTCCTTTGACAATTGTTTGACAGCGACTGGGGTCATCATCAGCTCCCTATACCGTTAGACCGGTATGCAGGGTACGACCTCTCCGAACTCGAAGCCCTCACCATGGAGAATGCCATAAATAACAACGAGCCTGAGCCTGAGCCTGACACTGAGCCGGGTGCCGAAGACGAAGGGGAGGATGGAGAGCAGGAAGAATCTGGACCAATTGATATCCCGAATGGATTCAGAATGCCTGAGTCCGACAAGGCGGATCGAGGAGATGACCCTGTGCCGGAGGATGTACCTGGCGTACCAGATGGTGATGCTGAGGGAGGGGACGGGACAGAGGACGAAGATGTGGTGGATGACGTCAATGGGGATATCGTGGTACCTGAAGTTATTAACCCCCCACAGAACGGACCCAGCGATTCTGTCGAAGACCTACACAAAACCGACCAAGAGCCCGAGGCGAATGGCGAGGCCCCGAACAACGCTGAAAACGATCAGCCAGGCCTAGAGGAGCCGTTCACCAAGCCACTGGAGGACAAGGGGCTCGCGGCAGAGTCTCTGATCATCTATAAGGAGGTAAATGGGTCCACGGGAGGAGGGTTTGAACTCGGAGAAAGCCCGCCGGCGCCCCCGAGGATCATGATAGAACCGAGGGTGATGCCTGTTCATGAGGGGACGCGGTGTGATGGGTGTGGGGTAAGGCCTTTCCTGTTGGTTTTTTTTGGAGTCTGGCTGATGGGTCACAGGAGGTACCTATTGTTGGAATTGCGTACAAATGCCTTGAGTACGTCTTTCGCGTTTTCTGAGAGTGCCACTCTGACTGGTGAACAGAGTTACGTGCCCGGACTTTGATCTCTGTGCAAAATGCTACAAAACTGGGTTCACAAACGAGGTCCACAAGGCTGGGCACAAGCTCATGCCTCTCCGTCCGGGAGACCGCCTGAAGCTACAGGACGCAGTGAGCATTCCCTTTCATTTGGTATTCTCACAGCTGACGAAGAAACAGGGAAACAGCGAGGATGAAGACAGCATCATCGTCGGGCTGAAAGTGTTTACGAAGGACTGCGGACCGACGCCAGTGACGGTGAAGGGACAACTAAGGCACGGCAAGATCATTTCGTGGAAACGGCCAGAGGATGATTAGGCTTAATCATTTTGGTCGAAGGTTAGCTGCTTGAACGTTCATGGTTTGGGACCGGGTTGCTGGGTTCAGGATTACTTGCACATGAACGGACATGGCTCATGTTGTCGAGAGGCGGACTACATTATCTTGCATCGATCGTCTTGTCGTACATACATCGGAATGATATTACATCTGTCCCAGCTCGTTCAGGCGCTCGTCGACCTCCGCAGCGGTCGGTATACTCCCCATGGCTCCAGACCGTTCGACGCACATTCCTGCGGCCTGGCCATGTTCATGCGTCAGCACCATACCTAGTACTGAATGGCTGAATGACGTACAACGACACATCTTCTCAAGAGCCCTTTCCAACCGTCTTGCTCCTTCTCCCTCCCGCTCAGGAGTCCCTCGACAAAGTACCCCGTAAAGCAGTCGCCGGCCCCAGTGCTGTCCCTCACCGTCCCCCTTAAAGTCGCCGCCGGTAGGTAGTAGATCTCGTCCTTTGAGATATGCGCCACGACACCCTGCCCGCCGAGGGTGAGGATGACCGTGCAGTGCTGGAAGAGAGGCTGTTGTAAGCGGGTGAGAACGGTAGCGATCTGAGGGGCTTTGCTGGTGGGAGGGAGGGAGTGGGCGTGTGCGTGGGGAGCGGTGGCGTCCGCGAGAGCGGCTGCTTCGTGTTCGTTCAGGAGGAGGTAGTCGACCTGTGTTCGTGATATGTTCACCACGACACACGGAATGGCGTAGATGGTAGAATGGCACGCACCATGCCCCAAGGAAACTTGGCTATCTCCTCCTTGGGCAGCAGAGGTGAAGGGTTATAGATAGTGCGGATCCCCTTCTCCTTCGCATACTTGAGGAACTCCAGCGTCGTCTCCTGCAGGATCTCGTTCTGCAACAGGAGGTGGGTGATGGGTGGGGCGAGGTGATAAGACGGAGGATGGAGGGCTAGGTGGTTCGTCCCTGCATAGAGAATAATACAGTTCTCGCCTTCGGGGGTCAGCTGGATGATCGCCCTCCCTGTTGAGATCTGTTGGATTCATATGAGCATAATGACACGGCGTGAGGAGAGGACGCACTTCGGGATGGATATGCACGCCTTTGACGTCGACTCCGGCCTCTGAAAGCTGTTGCTTTACCCAGTCCCCGTCCGTGCCGACCGCACCGACTAGCTGGACGTTCCCGCCTGCGCGTGCGATAGCCGCTGCTTGATTGGCGCCCTTGCCGCCCGCACGGCGTGTGAGTTCGCCAGTAGAAGATAACGTTTCTCCAGCATGAGCGATATGTGGTACTAATAAAGTGGTCAGCTGACTCTCATTAATTAATATAAATGTTTTCATATACCCCTAAAGAATTCGTCGATGTTGATTGAGCCTCTTACTAAACAAGTACCTGCCATGTAAAGGGGACTCTGTTGCGTTGTGGCGGTTCGGACACACAACGAGGACTATCCCTGCGTGCTAGTTGACCGTCTCATCACCGCCGTCTGCCGTTTCAACATCACGCATTTCTTGGCTTATAACATCCATAGGCGACAGATACATTCTGAACTTACTATTTCTTACTTCTGAACGTCGACGAACGACAGAGCTGGTTTCTCAGTTCGCTCGATGGATAAATGGACAGCGATAGAACCCGTAAAGTTATACGACAAGGCTTCATCAACCGCAGCCTCAGTCCTATCCAGGCTCAGCGGTAACGCCCCCTCAAGAGCAATTTTCATTGGACCTTTACCGCCAGAACTCCACTTGCTTATCCTAGACTACCTCCCGCTCTATGACCTCCCCGCCATCGCCCGCAGCTCTCGTGCATTCTCTAGGCTTGTCAGGGACGAGAAACTCTGGGAGCGCAAGTGGAAGGCACTCAAGATCGAAAAGTACGCACTACAAGAGGTACTGAACGAGTTGCAAAATGAAGAGGAACACAAACCCCCGCCGCCAAGACCTGGCCACTTTGCCGTCGAGGAGGAGAGCGATCTTGCGACCTTCACCGTGGGGGGCGACGATGAGTTTGGAGACTTTACAGAAGCACCACCCACCCAGTCAACTACGGGAACAGCTACGGAGACATTTGGGCAGTTTGTCAACACCTTCAACAACGTCGCGTTGGACAGCCAGTCCGCTGTGCCGTACATCACCGCCTTCCCCTCCCACCACACCTTCCGGAGCAAGTTCGTCAAGGCCCACAAAGCATTCGTCGGCCTACTGCCGAAGGTCGTCACCCCACCAGAACTGGCACTCTCACATCTCTTCCCATCTCCCGCCAAGTCTCTATACAAGGGCCGCGTTCTGCACCTCCTCGCCTTGTTCCTCTCCCCTGCTATCGAGCCCACGCGAATATGGAGTGCGCAGAAAGATGCCCTCAACTCCTCCATCCGCACGTTCAACGCCTCCCTCGTCACTGCCTTCGATACTTCAGAAGAAAAGGGCGAGGATGAAGGGATGAAGGAGGCTGCGTGGGCGAGCTGGGAGGTATGGGACGGGCAGGGCGAGTGGGAGATGGGCAAGACTTGGATGGAGAAACGAGACGTGTTCTTCGACTCTGACAGATGGGATCCCCTGCGTAACCTGTAAGTCTTCCCCCTGCTCTCACTGGTTTCCGGGACTGATGGAGTTTGTCAATGAAGGACCAATAATACGCTGCATCTAGACCCCATGGTCGTCTTCATGACGAATACAATGGAGTCAGTAAGAAAAGAAGGCAGCTTCGCCATCCGGATCTTTCCCCCATCAGCAGATATCCTGCTCGCCGTCACCCGACGCGTCGCAGCCGACGTGGTGAGCCTCGTTTCCTTGCCGTGCTCTTAAATGACCTACTAACAATCTTGCAGATCGGCGAATACATCACTCCTCTCCTCTCCCGTGCTCGGGAGATCTCGATTCCAACATACCTCAACGCCACTCCAGCGACCTTCAAGCAGGCCTGGCGGCTCGTCGACTCCATTATGGACGTTGCCAATCCGCCTCCGGTGAAGGTGAAGGGACATGCCAAAGGAGCGAGTTTTGCTGATCCGGCAAAGAACGGCGTTGGGGTTGGAAACGGAAATGCAAAGAAGGAAGCAGTCATCACCAGAACGCAGGCGGAGGACGTCATGTGAGCCTTTGTCCGTGCGTTTGCTTAGTGGGGAATGCTAATATGTGGTACAGATTCCGAATGTTTGAGATGTTCATGGAAGATTACCTGACGGAGGAAATCAGCTCTACGAAGAAAACACTGGACACGGCATGCGACACCTGGGACCGGAAAGTGGCTAGTCACACGGGCCTCTACTCGCCCAACGCACCCCATTTCTTGAAGAATCCTGCCCAAGTAAAACGCAACGTCCTTGCCTCTTTTGCGGATGTTCTACTCCTTCCTGTACAAGTAGCCGCTACGGGCGGGACGGCGGTCGCCAAGGGCATCTCCAAGTTGACCCCGCAGCAGCGGGCGGACAAGAACAAACCAGAGGCGAACGGGTACCGTACACCGTTAGCTGATAAAGACGACCCGACCGCGTTTGACCTCACTATGGCCGATATCGACAACCCGAACGAACACGACCAGGACCATGATACGCATCCACATCCCACACCGGTTCCGGCACATGTTGTCAATGGATCCCGGGCGTCGCTTAGTCTCGTGGGCAGCGGGCCAGGCAGTCGCTCCGGAACGCCCGTGCCTGGACCACGTCCCTCCACCCCCCTTCCTTCCTCCTTCGACAGGCTTGAGCTCCTCCTCTCGCTGGACGTCGCCCTAGAGCTGATACATGCCGTGCGGGACTCACTCGCCAGAGTGCAGACGTTTCAAGCGTATCCGGGAACATACGGCTACCGTGTCCGCGATACATTCGATCAACTATTTGTCCTGCTCTTGCAGGCTATGGGAGACAGACATATCTGTCCTGCATTCGAGAAGTGCGTATTGTTCCTTTCTTTTTTCCCCAGTGGCTGACGATTCTCAGGGCCGAAGAGCAGATGAAGACGTACAAGGCGGATGAGCATGAAATAAGTACGAGCGTTGCTCCTCTTCTGCAATTCTTCGAACTAGTACATCTCGCCGATACAATCCAGTCCATGGTACAGGTCTTCTTTGACAAGGAACTCTCAGCGCATATCGATCGCACGGATTTCATGAATGATGTCATTCGCGAGAAGAAACGGTTCGAGAATTCCCTAGATGATGCAGTTGCGAGTGGGATGAATGCGGGCACAGAAGTGCTCATGAATCAGGTGCGCGTGACGTTGGTGACTAAATGTGAGCATCGTTTAACTGGCTTGTTTAGGTGGAGCACATCATCTGGAGTCGGACCGGGCCGCGCGAGTATTATCCACCAGAAGGCCCACCCCTGGAACTCGGTCCCACAGAAGGATGCCGAGAAGCCATCCAGTGTCTCGAGATGCATTGCAAGCTGTTGAAAGGCAGTACGAGCAAGGATGTCCTCGAAGTGTTCTATCAAGAAGTGGGTATTCGTTTGCATGGGTATGTACCATAAATTATAGAATTGGTATATCATCGTCTAATTGTTTGATAGCATCATCCAGAAACATCTCAAGCGCCAAATCATCTCCCTTGAAGGAGGGTTCCAAGTCATTGCGGATCTAAACGCATATTACAGCTTCATTGCATCGCTGCGCGTTCAGCAGATTACCCAGGATTTCTCGAATCTGAAGATGCTGGGACACGTCTTCATTGTGTCCGATGCCAAAGATTTAGCACAGATCGTACGAGATGTCACGCGATACGGGGGTTCCTTCCGACCAGAAGACGTCTATGAGTTTATTCAGCGACGTGCGGACTGGAAGAAGATCGAAAAAACCGTCGATAAGACCATGTACAACTTGAGCTTCAAAGACGACTGTATCATCGCATGAGACCCGAGGTATCGTGTCCATGACAACGTTCCACTGGAAAGTTCCCAACTGATTTGCTGGTTACGCGCCCAGCGCCGGTCCCGTTACCTGCAATCTCCTGTGCCTGGCCAAGTCAATCTCAGGCGGGGAAGGCCGAGAACAAGATGAGAAGAGCGGCTCCGTGTTCTCAAGGACGTTCCTTCAGGTGCTTCTTGAGGGTTTGATTTATTCAGATATTAGACGATGTATCGTTATTCATCTTTGTCGACCATCAACTAATAACACAACTCCATACAAACCTCTCTTTCTTGTTGGCAAGGCAATGATCGGCCGGACATAAGGATTCCAGATCGTCTAAGGGACCGGCGGCGTTAGCAGTGATCAGATCCGGGAAAGATAGAATTGATCCACACGGCGCCTTTACATCGGTCAATTCTTTTCAATATGTGAGAAAATAACCTTGCTCCCTTCTTCCCGCCCAACTCCTTTGACGAATTGATTCAAGCCATACCAAAATGCTGTGCCCAAAATCACATTTCAAGCCCGCGAAGAAGTGATCGTGGGCTCCGCTTTTTTTTTCAGGGCAAACCTGGGGTAGCATTCGACAAGGAACTCTCTTTCCCACACACACACACTTAGCGGGACTTCAAATGACGTCTCATAAAGCTGCTGCCCTCTTTTCGCCCCGTTTCGTTATCCCCCCCAGGACGACTTGAGCTTTGTGAGACTCTGGCTGGCGGTGTATGAGCGCCGATCCAACACCATCTCCATTCGACCCGAGCACTTTTCAGAACCTCGTAAACGACTTCTATGTCAGCCGAAGGGCGCTAGGTAAGTTGATTGATACCCCTACCCCCCATAAGATCTCAAATAGCATACCCATCTTCCAAGTCGCCTCCGCTGCCTGGGTGGTCTGTGATTACGGTAAGTACCTCGAACCTCATGCCCATATCCCAGCTGTGTTTAACTATTCTTACAGTGCTCACCCTCGAACAAGAGGTCAGTTGCATTTTCTGAAACGAGGGAAGAATGACCTATGAATTCATCTGCGATACAGATCAAATTTGTGTGGGTGAGGTGCCATGTCTTAAGATCAGGCATGCAGGTCTTTAACGTCGATCAGCTGAAACCTTGGGGAGTGGCAAAGGCGCTCTTCTTATGGGTAAGTCAACTACCTAAAGCCAAGCGCAGCGGGTTTAATTGCAACCGCTCAGACAAGATATGCCGGTCTCTCTATCTTGCTGCTCTCCGTCGCAAGTATATTGCAAACCCCCGTATCTCATATACCCTCACTGACATCGACTATTTTCTAATGTACAGGCAGCATTGCGCCTGGGCCTGTACCACTAGTAAGTGTCTCATTAGTTGTGATGATATGTCATAGTTCGTAACATATCGCCTCAGGTGTATGCAATGTTGGCAACTATCTCCCCCGAGCAACTTGACTGACCTTCCTCTAGATGTGAATTCATATATTACTTCGGTGGATGGGGCGGAATGGTCACGATGGCCACCGTATCAAGTAAGTATACATATATTACACCGAATGACGAGACAGGCTTCATGCGGAGATCCACAGCCATCATGGTGCTCCGCATATATGCCATGTATGTTGGAAGTAAACGTGTTGCCATTACTCTCGGTATCCTACTCGTTGTACGTGCGCCATTTGCTACACTAGAACGTGCTGACCGCAAGTCAGCTTTACGTGGCCGCTGAGGGTGTGTTTGGTTCACACCATTCACATGTTCTTCCTGAAGAATACCACAGGTTCCATATTTCATTTTGCATCTGACGCCCCCTGGCGTGCGTAAATAATCCCATCCTGAGGAATAAGTTACTCACATGATTCAGTCCCACCCGTGGAGTATTTGTCACTTAACCTCAACCCATGTTTCACGGGAACTTCCATGCAACTCTCAATGGGCCTGTGGATCGCTAGATTGGCAATGGACTCAATTTTGCTGGGTTTTGCGGGGTTCAAGTCGGTCCGCCTGCTCTATCACACTGCGTGAACAATGGCTGAAGGTGCGGAACAGGTACAGCAATATAGACAAGGGTGGAGCTGCGGTATCGTAGAATTGCTCATTCGAGACAATATACTTGCCTTTATCTGGTAAGTAGTACATCTTCACTTTCTTCCGTAACCTGATAGTGTCCAACAGCATCCTTTGCGTGCAGGTCCTAAACCTAACATTGGAAGCTGTCGCTAGGGTAGGTCATATCTGCTGAGTTCGAGATGGTTCACTGATGCTTGGGGTAGCCTCAGGCTACATTGGCCGGCATTGGGTCTGTCATCATTCAATTCCTTGTTCCTAAACTCATCCTTGTGTCAGATTTGCAATCGCAACAGACGTGCTAGTTGGCACTCGACTGCTGCTGCACACTCGAGAGGCTACATCCTACACTGATGACACCGACAGCATCCAGCTTAGCGAGCTTGGCGCACGGCCAGCTATTGTCCTCACCGACCTCAGCGATATATCCGTGGCCGACCATGTTGGCAACTTGCCAAGATTGGAGCTCATCTCAGAAGAAGCCGACGAAGACGCTCACGCGTATGACGACTTCACACCAGTCGAGGAGAGCGGAACTGCGAAGGCTTTGCTATTCATGAAAGCTAACGAGCTTGTTTAATGACTTCTCGTTCCTTTTCTCATGGCACTCTACCCTGTACAGGAGCCAGAGCACCACGAGATACTCGTAGATATGTAGCATTCCAGTGAGAGCACAATTCATGAATCCAGGCGACACCACCCTAGATTCGGAGGACTCAGAGATATGCTGCCCACACTTTCCTTTCCCTTTCCCATTGAGCAGTTGAGATGCGCATACAAATGAAAGACGACAAAAAATCACGCGGAAGCAGCGCCAAACACATGTTTTGACAATGCCGCTGGAACGACGCCAAATCAAGTACTACGTCTCTTCATGCCGACATAGCAGCTAACAGGTTTGCGCAAGAACCCTTCCCTTGTTTCCAGAGGCTGATCTTGGCTCAGAAGGGCAAATTCGTATCGGTGAAAGATAGTCGCGACAATGAGCAGCAGTTCCATGGATGCCAGGTTCTTCCCCACACAAGCACGCGGCCCAAAAGAGAATGCGTTAAACGTCGCTTGAATACCTTCCGCATCCTGCTCAAACCATCGTTCTGGGCGGTAGATGTCGGGGTCCGGTCCCCATATAGCGGTGTCGCGGTGGATCGTGTAGCTCGGCACAGATAGAACGGATCCAGCGGGGAAATGTATGCCAGAAACTTCAAGACCACCTTCGGGCACGATCCGGGGCAAACCCAGCGAAGAGGTCGAATGGATCCTCAGACCCTCGTTGACTACTGCGTCGAGGTAGCGGAGCCGCTTCAACTGTTCATATGTAGGTACATCTTCGTCATCTCCGAGCGCTTCGTCTAGTTCCTTCTGCAGTTTTCTCTGAGCATCCGGATACTTTGCCAGCCAGTACGTAATCGCGCATGATGAGCTAGGAGGGATTATTACATGGGTAGTAATGCGTTTACTACTTCCACTCACTTGCTCGTAGTGTCGCTTCCAGCGATGAGCTGGGCCAATGCCTCTGCTGTCAATTCGCTCCTTGCCATGAGGTTTCCCTGTTCGTCCTTGCCTTGCTGCAAACGAGCGAGCAAGTCAACTCTATCTGTCGGTGTTGCCAAGCGTTTGTCAACTGCCGCGATAGCGATCTACACAGACCATTAGATCCCTCGGGGATTAACACAAATAGATCACTCACTCCGGCAAGATTCTTCACCGCTTGATTGCCTTTCGCATACCAGGGAATTTTCTTCGCGTACGGTCGGATCCAAATAGGCAAGCAGCCCATACTTGCCGAATACTCCCCACGATCGTTGAGAATTTTCACTGCTGGGACTCGAACAATCTCCAGTTTCTTTTCACCGGAGGCAAGGTGTGTTGGGTCATCACCATGGATAGCGACCGAGGCACTATCGGCACCGGAATTGATCATCCCGAAGGGCTCACCAAAAGCCAAGTCACCGATGATGTCAAACGCTGTCGGAGATCAGTCACTTCCAACCGATCCAGTTACGTGAAACGCACCAAGATAATTATACCAGTTCAAACAGTCGAACCAAGCGGTTCCATTCTCATTCGGTCGTAGCCTATGGGATGCAAGCTTTCGGTCATCACTGAGAAGCGAATCCCATTGCTTGACGAGCTTGCCAAGAGCTTGTCGAATGTACGGCTCAAACTCAAGCACGCTTTTCTGACTGAATATGTGGGAGACGATCTTGCGTTTGCGAGTGTGTTCGGCTCGGTCGCGTGTACTGAAGATGTTCTGTGTTAGTCATTGAGTACTATTATCCAATGCGAGAACGATGCGCACCATACCTTCCGAATAGAGACAAATGCTTCGTAGAAGTCTGATTTCAATGCTCCATTACCGTGCTGTGCACGCATGAGATATTTTAATTCAGTCAAGTCGCAATCGCTCCACTCACAGCATAAACAATCTGCAGTGCACCGGGCTCTGAAAGGCTGATGTGGTTCGGGGCGATTCTCACTACTTTGCCTATCATTCCGTAAGCACCATTTCTTTCTAGTGTTGAATAGCACGCACCGTATTTCTGATGGAGTCCATGGATAATTTCCGACCTGTGTCCTTGAGCCGCGACGCGGGCAAGCCAAACGTCACTGAGCTGAGCAAGGAACGGCCCGGGAATGTGTTTTTTCCTATAGCCGAAGGGATCGGCTACCCAGGGAACGAGATGCGATGCCACGAGGAGAAGGACGGCGAGCCCTCCATAGAGCAACAGAGCGTTGGAGGAGAAGGGGGTTGGAAAGTAATCAAGGAGGGAGGACATGCTGGTCGCGACTGCCGGCTGGGAGGGGCCCGATGATTGAAGCTTTTTGTACTGGGCAAAGGTGGTCAAGAAGACAGGAATCGATGTTCAACACGTCAGCCTGCTCTTCAATGTTGGGAACCCAAATACATGTCGGTTAGGTGAAGCCTGTGGTTCTTCACCACGGTTGTGGAAGATTAACTGATGCTTGAGGTCTGCCTTACGCAGACCTGACAAAACCTTATGACCAGAGTTACACCAACAACCCCCGCATTCTAGGAAACACTCGGTAAATAAAAGACGTGTCCTCTCTGCCGGATCTTACTTCCGCAAGTTTAATTTTGTGAAGAAGTGCATGAGTGCACTGAACCGGTGGATGCCCACATCTGAGGTCTATTCACTACCCTACAACATGACCGACAAAAGACCGTCATATCTCGCTCAGAATTAGAAAAACCTGTCCATCAGATTCCTGGACACCTCGACGCCAACAAATGTCGCAGCATTGGCGGGGAAAGCCTGCAATGATACATTGTCAATACACGTACATACCGAGTCAACAAGGGTGAACGTACCCTAGCCATCGCAGGCCCGAGACCCTTCCACAAAGCGGCCACACCATCCTGTGCGATAAGCTTACGTGTGCAGTCCACAATGCCCGTATATGTTCCATGAGGCGCTGACTGCAGACGCGATTTAATGGTCTGACGAAAATTCGTGAGTGGGGGCAAGCCAGAGAACCATGTAGCACGCGTACATCGGGTGGAATGGCGATGGTCCACATCGCAACACCGGCCATGCCTCCAGCGAAGACGATAGAGCCCAGATGTAACTGAGATGGGTCGGAGCCAGCGGGTGTCATTGCCTTCTTCACGAGCTCGTAGGCAACGAAATAACTAAATTTCCGGCTGAGTAATTGTCGCGACAAAAACAGGTATTGGAGACTGACGCAGCGCTTCCTGGCCCATCGCGCGCGAGGGTTGCCCAGGTCCCGCGGAACAGACTCCTCATGCCGCCCTCCCTATAGAGGTGTCTGACAACATCGACAGGGCCGGTGTAATGCGTTCCGGCTCCCTGACCTTGAACCTATGACAAACGGGTTGGATCAGTGACCGGCAAATGATGTTGTATTCTAACCCACCTGGAGCACAACCTTTATCCGCTCCATTGGCGCCATGACCAGCGTAGTCGGGATAGCAGAGAAGAACCCAGCGAAGGCAAGCTCGGCCGTCGTCAGAGTCCGATCTTTCCGATTGGGCGTGGCAGCATAGACGATCTTTTTACCTACATCATATGACTAAAGCAGATCTAATTAGCACCGCTGGAGCAAGCCAGCATGCAGAACGCACCCAGAAAGAGATGGCAAAGATAGGGGTGACTCCAAGTAAGGGAGGACCCATGCCGCGATAGAGTCTTCCTTGGGTTGAGAAATAATTTCCAGAACGGCACGATTACTCACCCAGTCATACCATCCTTGGCGATGGCCTTCCGGACTACATCGACTGCGCCCGTGTATGTGCCGGGTGCCGCGGACTGTAGCCGCACTTTGACCAAGTCGAATGGGTGACCTAAGCAGCGATCAGATATGGCACAAATGATGGCTGACTGTGAGCGCTTACCGACTAGGACGGCGGCGACTCCTCCAAATCCACCAGCGACGAAACTCTTGATGTTGTCGAGGAGCTCGTTCTTCACCCTTGGTGTGCTCTCACCTGCTTTGTCGGACATGGTGGTAGATGGGGATGAGAGGGTGCGAAAGGTATGGGTATTCTACGAGAGAGGGGGAGGAAGTGGGAAGTGGGAAAGAGGCGGGGAGATGCTCGGCATTTAGCTCTTTTACGGTTGCGCGTTTTGTGGGTTGTGCCTCAATATGCCCTTAGGGTGTCCGGTCCCTTGCACCTATTGTGCGTGTGAATATTGAGTGCCATTTACCGGAGCGAACCGGAAAGAATCAGCTGTCATATGAGCGCATAACACAGCCACCCATGTGGGGAATTGCGGGGATTTCAAGCTACTCCGCTCATCAACTATTATTTTGCTACTTCGGCCCTGTGGTTATCCGACGCGAATCTCCGCTCAGTCAAAATCGGGGTATCAAATAGAGTGGCCGTTCGTCGCCATGAACTGGTTCCTCACCGAATATTGCACCTTCTCCATCAACGGCTTCACCTATCGTGCTCGTGAGCATCAATCGCTACGGGCATCTACGGAACACCTACCACCCCAGGCTTGGCCGAGGACAGCTGTGCCAATTGCTCGCTCAGGTACACCCGAGGATCATTCACATACCCCACAGGGTCCGCCTCCTTCACCGCAGAGGCGGACAACTTGGAGAACGACGCTTGGTACATCTCCTGCCCAGGTTCCACATCAAAGTCCGCTACATCCTCTTCCTTCTCCGCTGACACTGCTTGGCTTCCTTCGAATAGCTGCAGGACTGCCTCCAACGTCGTCGGCCTAAATTGTTGTCCCATAAGGAAATGCACCCATTCTCAAATCGGTTGTTCTTACCAAGCTTCGACATTAGGTTCTTGCAGCAAAAGCGGACATTGTGTAAGAAGTCTCGTGTACCCCACAACAACAACCTTCCGATGTTTTACCTGCGTTCTTGGCAACTCCGGGGTAATGACAGACTTGAGCAAGGGTGCCATTATCCTGGGACAACGTGTTAATGAATTAGTGTCGCGCGCAAAACGGCTCTCCGAACTCACCCGGCTTGAATGGTGTTTAGAGTCGTGATGATGAAGTCAGGAGAAAAACCCTCCACCTGAACTGCAGATGCATATGCGACAAAGTACATCCAGTAGTAGTAGAGGTTCGCAGACCGCTGTCCCATAAGACGATGAAGGATGGTCATCAGGGTGCTGCTAATATATGGCTGGAAGTGTTCGCTAAAGACGGCGTAAGCACTATACCAGGTCTGCTCAGTCACGGGACGTACGGAGGTACGGTTACTATGATAGTCTGAAGAATCTCGAATCCAAACCCATCATACAATTTCGACGGGAACAATCGTTGTTGTAGAAGGCCAAAAACCAGTTTGAGTGCTCCGCTGGCTTCCATGTTCCTCCCTGCAGCTTGAAGAAATGCCTTGAGAAGACGCACTAAAGCGGGGATACTGCCCTTCGCCTGCCATTGCTGTGGTGACAAAACGATGTTGCGTAAGACATCGTTGTACGCAGGGGGTAGATCGCCAGTGTGGGCTTCTAGAAGTTGCGACAATATCTGGAAGGCGTATGGGATGAAGTCCGCGGCGGCTTCCTGCTGCATTATACCGGTAATGACAGGGAATAGCGCGGTCTCAAATTGGGAAACGGTGACAGGCTGTGCGGCGGTGATAAATCTAGACAATCCAGCATGAGCCTGGATCCCAACGTCTCAAATGTCGCGGTACCTGACTAATGCGGATAAACTCTCAAAGCAATATTGGCTGAACATGGGATTACTGGGATTGGCGCAGATGATACCGATGATGGTCACCAGTGAGTTCAGAATATCTGCATAGATTGGCACCAGTGTCTGCCGAGCGGTAAGTATTACCCGCATCACACCTAAAAACCAGTCATTTAGCAGTTTGACAGCAGGCCACAGTGAAACAAAAACGTACACTTCATAAGGTAGTCATTCTCTGCCACTTTGTCAGGGGTTTGTCCAGAGATGATCTTTTGCAGGATGGTTTGTAGGATTGGGAGGGTGAGGTCATGCATGTCCGTTGGACCAAACCTTGCAAATGATGAGCGCAAGCACTGAGACCAATATCGATAAACCTTACATAAATTGGCCGCTCTTTTTTATGAAGAGAATTCGTTCGATAGCGATAGCTGCGTAAGACGATGCCACATAATTGCTAGATGAGAGATGATGGACCACGAGTGGCAAGACGGTGACAAGTTGTTCTTTTGTTAGCTGCAGATGGCCTGAGTACAACAGATATGAGAGTACAGGCTGCGTACTTGATTTCGGAACGTATGGAGGAATTTGATACCGTCCACTTGAATGATCGGGTGCACAGTATCGGGCGGCGCTTGCAGATCGACAAGCACGTTCTGGCCAAACCAAGGGACGACGTCAACCATGGCGTTTGTGGAAGTGACGCCTTGCTGGTAGTGGGTCAGTTTCATCTCAGAACTGAGTTTTATAAGAATAGGTACATGTGCAGTTCCTCCACGGGAGCCAATGGCAGTAAGAAGGCAGATAGCAGTGTCCTTGTACTTCCAGTTCTCAGACGGATTTGCACGGTATTGCTGTCCAAGGTTTAAATATTGCATGGAGGAGGGTCCAACAAACTCACTTCAAGGTTTTGATTGATATATGGCATGAGCATGGTGGTAATAGGGCCTTCAAAATGTTCCATCACGGCTCTGGTAAATTCGGTGGCGGACTGTCGTCGAGTCGTGGCGTCAGTGGCAGTCTCTAGATCTCGTCTAATATATTCAAGGGGATCGTCTTCAAACATGTCTTCTTCTTTCTCTTAACGAAAATCAGACAAGGGGCACAACTGGAAGAGAACAACGATTACCTTGAAGAATAATGTTGGGCAAAATGATCCTCTCGCAGAACCCTCTAAGAATGTCTGCGTTGTCAAAAAATTCGCGGTGGATGCCCATCTTCACGACCACGCCTAAGAAATGCAGGGCTTGGTTGACCAGCATGTCGTTTCTGGCGTCTTTGTTTAATTTTCCAAGCAGCTCCCAAACTGCACCAACAAATGTGCGAAGCTCCTTGAATTCTTCATGATACTTCATGGCATATAATTCGGCGATCTCACAAATGGTAGATGGAATCTTCTGCAGCAGCCCTGGGGTGTCTTCATCCTTTTTTGCCGTAGATATCAGGATTTCATGGTGTCAATAGATGTAATATACGCACGTCAGATTTCAGCTCGGGTCGCTCAAAGGCCAAATACTTGAGCAGCACACCGCCTCGCCCATCGTTGCCCATAAAATAGCCCATGTTGTCCTCGAAGAATTCCGGAAGGTCTTGAGAGTTGAGATCCAGGTATATCTGGAGCATAGAGTGAAGCGTCTTTCCGAGCAGCGGTACGGGCACGCTGGATGAAGGTTGTTCAAGGTGAGCGTCAACCTGGGTGAAGACGGCCATGTATGGAGGACAGAATTTATCCAGCGCAGTCTTGATAGCCAGGAATAGCTCATCGCTGCGTGTCATGCTTCTCCATGGGAGAAAGACAGAGTGGGCAATCTCCATCACGCCAGCATTCGCTGCCCAGTCGGTGGGAGACAGACATGCCACTAACTGGTCCATGAGATCGGGCCATGTTTGGGGAAATTCCACGGCAGCGATAATGGACACAGCTTCAGCAAGCAATGCTTGATGCGATGATTGAGAACCAAGCGAGACGGTCAGCGGTACGAGTTGCCCTTTGAGTGCCACTACATCCGCGTCTGGAGGTACGGGATCTTCACTCTCCTAAGTGGGGGTGAGTCGATGGACGGCAGCAAGTGCAGAAGAGAACGCACGCCCCCCCAGATAGCCTTGCAGGTGTTCTTGACCCACACCGCTGCCAGCTGCCGCGTCGTCGATGGTAAAGAAACATTCTGTATAACGGTCAAAGCCAAGGGTAACATGCCCGGCTGGGCAGTGGCGCTCTGCAACCATGCCTCAGCACCTCGTCGATCTGGGCCTGGGATAAGACTGGTGTTCAGCGCGTTAACAAAAGTTTGCATTGCAACATCTTGAGCCATGTCAAGCAGTGCGCAAAGGTATAGAGACGGACAGGTGATGAGGGTGGTGCAGACAAGGGAGATGAGCACGCCTCAGCCGCACCGTGTGCTGAGTGGCGACTCTCCACGGTCAACGCGACGCGAACGACGCTTCACGGAGGCATTGATATCCACGTGGTGGCAGTGCTTCTGGCACAAGGCCGCGCGTGCAGGCATACGCGTACTCCAGCAGTCCAGGGCGCATACACACACCATTCTTGCACCACTACTTCCACTGCTCTCTCTCGCTCACAACTGAACAGAATGGCCGAATGCTCATTTGGTTTGGTTGGAAAGGGATATGTTCTTATCGCCTCCGATACATCGGCCAGCCGGTCAATTGTCAAGATGAAGGAAAATGAGGACAAGATCAAGGGTTTGGGGCCAAACCTCATGATGGCATATGGTGGTGAACCTGGTTAGTTGTTATCCAAGTTTGATATTCGAGCGGGTCTGATCATTGTCCCCAAGGCGACACTATCCAATTCGCCGAGTACGTGGAACGCAATCTGCGTCTCTATCACATTCGTCACAACCACACCCTCCGTCCTGCCTCAGCTGCTGCGTGGATTCGCCGATCTCTCGCAGACTCGTTACGCTCTCGCCACCCTTACTCTGTCAATCTTATACTGGGTGGTTATGACCATACTTCATCAATGCCAAATCTTTACTGGATAGACTACCTGGGCACGATGGTAGAGGTACCATTTGCGGCCCACGGGTATGGTGCATACTTTGCCCTGGCCACCCTTGACAGGTGCGCTTCCCCGACGATGTCTGACGCTTTTGTCTGAGAGCATATGTAGGTTCCATGATCCGGAGGCAACACTGGAGGAGGGTTTGGAGACCTTGAAAAGATGCATCAATGAAGTGGAGAAACGCCTCATTATCAGTTTGGGCAAGTTCATGGTCAAGATCATTGATCGTAATGGCATGAGAGAGGTAGAGCTGTAATTCAGACCGCACCGTGGCCAGGTGGGATAATGTAACTCTCATCGCCCCAAACGGAACAAAGTCAGCAGCACTCTTATTCCTGAACCTTCGCTCTGGTGGGGCATTTCCCCACATCCTCTTGTGCCTATGCAATTGGCCGGATAAGAAGAGGGAGCTGAGCGCCTTTCTCCTCTTCCCCTTTAATCAACGGTCGGGTAACCATACTGTGGCAGAGAAGTGAGCGGGGAAAGTCCTGTCAGACGTAAATGGTTTCTCACACCGTCTTCTTCACGATTTCCATATCACACGCTGGGAGCTCAAATATAAAAGATCGCAGAAGGATAAAGAGGAAGGCTTTCACTCTAGAAAGAGGACCAATGAGCATTGTCATACACAATGTCAACCACAAGCATACTCGATGATCGAAAAGCGATATCCTTGAATCGATTTTGTCAGCGAGATCCAGGAGTGATCACATTGAAGCCATACGGATGCACGCTCTTGGCCCTCCGGTGAACGTCAGAATGTGGGAATATACACCTGGGATTGCGGTTGCGGCTTCAGGCGCACTCTGGAAACGCTCAGGCCTTCCGATTTATGAAAATATGAGCTATGATGTATTTGTCTTCCTCCATACCTAAACTCGAGAGCAGTCGGACCCCACAACCGCTCAGACTTGTCAATAGCGAGAATAGGGATGAGAATGACATCGCCGGCCTTAACTCTGATAGTACTCAATACAGCATCAATAGGTACAGCTCTCCCACACACCTGACAGCATCTAGTGTATTACCGTGTCTGTCGATGACCGGATATTGAAGGGGGATATTGTCATCCTGCGTAGCGACGCGGACAGTGTCTCGAACCGGCCCTTGAAGACAGAGAAGCTCTCTTATACAAAGATCCAGGTAAGGGAGTGAATTGAGATCCTCCATGGACGGGAGACCTTCAGCGACGGCAAGGAGCTCTTCTCTAAGCTTTGTCTGAATTCTCGTATGCTGTGCAAACATTAGCAGCGACCATGTCAACGAATTGCCCGTGATCTCATGACCCTGAAATTGGGGTCAGCTGTGCGTCAGAAGGCACAGTAGCATCCTCAAACACGAACAGCGAGGAGAAACGTCGTGATCTGTGATAAGACTTCTTCATCCGTAAGCCTGTGTGTAGGTAACACGTCGCTCGCCATGTTTGCACGAACTAAGAGCAGTTTCAGCGAATGCGCGATGTTCGAATGAGAAATGCATACTGAGAGCGCTCAGGATGTCACGGCCCCCGACAACTGTACCAGAAGTTTCCTTTTCGCCCACCTTCGATCTGGCTACCTCAGCCTTCTTCTTTTGGATAAGTTCCATCCCAACGCGACGCATTGTTTGCATGCTCCGCTTCCTGACTTGGAGATCCGGTTCAGGCTGTTTCTTTTGTTAGTTGCAAGGACATTCAGCGAACGAGCTGACGTACCAAGAATAGGCGCAATATTGGGAAAAACAATCGGATCATATTTAGCCATCGATTTTCCATCTGTGTGCGGAATAATTCGCGGACGGCAAAAGCGAGCTCGTTCTTATCATGAAAGAGAGACTCAAAGTCGTACCCAAATCCTAGTTGGCTTTGTTGAGAAAGGGCTGACTTCACCTAAGTGAACAAGGGAATATGGACCTGCCACACCAATGGTGTCTAATGTGGCACGGCTAAGCCACTGATACACATCCAGCTTCTGTCCTTCTGCCGGATTGGAAGCCGCCAGTATCTGAGCTTGCCAAATATCGCGGAGCTCAATTTGAAGGGTCACATGAATAGTTTATGAGGCGACGGAGTCCTCACCTCTGTGGCTTTCTCAAAGAAGACTGGTGTGACTTCCCTGAGCTGTACCTGAGAGAATGACGGATTCTGTGAGGAAAGTGGTTAATAAGCACTGAGAAAGCTCGCCGTTGTGAGTCGCCCACTAGAATTCTGCGCTGCCTCTTATGCGTCTCCCCTTCTGCACTTATAAGACCTGATACGGAGTTCAGAACGCTCAACTGTCCACGGTGCGAGAGTAAGATGATCTTGCCTTCGGCCCCAAGCAGTTGACGGAGCCACTTCCGGAGGATCGCTGGCTTCGGATAGATATCATTGTTGGACAGCAAATGCGAGACAGCCTTGGGATCCAACGTGCACAGTTCCCATTTCTATAATAAAGCCTGACAGTCAACACGGCGTTTGATATTAGCTTGAATGGGAGCGTGACGCACATCCACGAAGGATGGATACTTGAAGGTACAACCATATTCGTCTGCCTATTGTTGGATGACAGTACCGCCCTCTGCGTCTACGACAGCTTGTTCCAGACCGAACACCCAAGAGGGGCTGTTGGGCCCGCGCAGCTGATTGATTGGTGTGCTGAAGTTCCGATAGAGATGTTTGGCTAGGTAAGTCAACCCAAATACAGCCAACAGAGTAAACCCAATGACGGCAGTAGTGTTGACAGATAAGATACTTTCATTGTTTACCAAGGGTAATGCCAGCATGGTGAACAAGGACTCACCATGCTGCGGAAGTTGGAGGTGCTGTCAAGAGCCAGAGACGCGGGAAGATGCACGTGCGCGTGGTCGCTGAGAAAAATAACCTTTAGGCATTTCTTCGTGCATCGTTGGGCGCCTGCCAGTTCAACTAGCGCCCTTCGACAGACCCTGACTCTCCTGCCCTCGGGGTACGGCATTTTCTTTTCCTTTTTTTCCCCCATCGCTTCACTCTTGAAAAGAGAGATAACCCCTTGACGACCCGGTCCTCATCTTGAACACGTATATTTGTAACACACCCACTAAAGCTCCCAATAAGCTACGGGGCTTCTCGGGGCAATATCATGACTGACATCACCAGAAACTTCTTCTTTGCTCCAAGTCACGGTGGGAGGCTAGGAACGAGTGCCAGATGGAAGGCCGCGCATGTCAGGAAGTTGATTGCGCAAAGTAGCCTCATTAAACGACCCGAGTCGGTCGGATTCATAAAAAAACCACGTGCTCTCCGTTAAGGGAACGGAAGCATTAGGAAGCAGTATGACGCGGAAAACGTCCGAACTCGGACAGCAATCTGTTATGCCGATTGAAGCATTGTCCAACTTTGCATACTGAATACCGAGCTTAACTTCAACAACGCATTTATTACTTTCACTTTGAAGATACCCTATCAATTACGCGCCCTCGCACTCGGATCTATATACCATCCAGATGTCTACATCGTACGAGGAAGAAGAGACGGAGCTTGTTGAAGCCTACGGTGAGAAAAGCGTCCTTACTCTCTCTCTAGATTATGACTGACGTTGTTGCGCTAGATTTTCTACTTAAGTTCATTATCATCGGTGCGGGCGCAAATGTTAGAACCCATATCTTAAATGTTTACGGACGATGTAGGCGAAGCCGGTACTGGCAAATCATGCCTGCTTCATCACTTCATTCATAACACATGTACGCAACGTCATGTCGGCAGTTCACAATGTCACTCACCTCATATCAGTCAAAGAACACTCACAGCACACGATTGGTGTCGAATTTTCTAGCCGAACGATTCGAGTAGGAGAGAAGAGTGTCAAACTACAGGTACACGTGAAATCAAGGGAACTTGTGTCATTATGGCTAATGCCGCTGCAGCTCTGGGACACAGCAGGACAGGAACGATTTAGGTGCGAGCTATATACCACATGTCCTGCTGGATACAAATTTTGACATTTTCTCGCAGATCCGTGACGCGTAGCTATTACCGTGGAGCAGCTGCCGTTTTACTTGTATACGACATCACAAAGTTTGTCTGCTCTGATGCATCCTCGTATTTCCGCTGAGCTCTGGAACAGCCGAGGATCTTTCGTAAATCTCTCGAAATGGTTGGCAGATGCGAAAGCACTCGCATCACCACAGCTTGTGTCTGTCCTCATCGGGAACAAAAGCGATCGGGAGGACGATAGAGAAGTGGACTACTTGGAAGCCTCTCAATGGGCCGCTGACAATGGTAAACCCTGCCCTCTTTTGTCTGCTTCGTTTCTTATTCATAATGCTCAGGCATCCTATTCCTGGAGACATCATCCTTAACAGGAGATAATGTCGAAGCCCCGTTCCTTTTGGCTGCACGCACCATTCTCCTTGCCATCGAATCGGGGGCGTTGGATCCAGAGAAGGCTGGGAGCGGTGTAAGTTACGGTGATCGAGCCCTACGCCGCGCCGGCAGCTCTAGCCGTTTGAGCTTTGGAAGCTTCGGCAGCAAAGGAAAGAAGTCAAGACGTGTGAACCTGAAAGAGATGATACGGGCACCAAGTAAATGCTGCTAGAATGATCAAGGAGGACAGATGAGGGCCGTAATGGTTTCTATTTTTCTATGTATTTCTACCCGTCACGACATGTATACCGACAGTCTGAGAGCCTACCTATACGTCTTATACCTTCACCTCACTCCTTTCCAGGTTCTGCACCTGAATTATGCTGAGTAGTGCATATATCATCTCCATCCTGGAATAATCCATTAGACTTTGGCAAAGTCGTGTGTTGGCTTAAGTTGAACTGGCCTTGGCATAGCTACATCATGCTTCTTTCCCCATCGTACAAGTGTGCCAATTATGACCTCAACCTCCAAGGGTGATCCTCTTTGCACCTGGAGAAGCCTGTTCAGCTGTCATAGGGATGCGGGCCACCTTCCAACTTACATCTACCAGCATACTAGGCAGATGAGGGGACGTCTTACTGAACCCGCGCAAAGTGCGGTTCGTCAAAAACTGGGCATCTTCTCCAGTGATCGGGTAACCCAGTGCTTGTCCAAGCGCGGTTAGTTCTTGCAATGTGGCGTGAAGCGGCCCTTCAACAATCTCCTCCAGTCGAGGTGTGACGGACATGGCTGGTGGCGGCGAACGAGCCAGCGTACATAAGCTCGCCACAACAGCATTCCTGGGGTGTTTCTATGAGTAAGAGACCAAAAAGGACCAGGAGCAGACCTACCAACGATTTTTCATGAATTTCTCGCACTGTATATTCTCTGCAACAGAAGCATTACTGCCTCCGGCCTTCATGATATCCACATATGCCTGGAGGGACGCTGTCATTTCCGGGGTAGGTGCCGGACTCTCATCTCCTCTGTACAGCCCTGCGAGGAGCTTTTCCTGCCGATACCAATCAGGAAGCTGATATCCACTAATACGAAATTCAAACCATTGTCCCCTGTACGAGACCATCTCGCGAATCTGTGAGGCTGGCGTCAAGGAACACAGCTCCAGTGATAATAACAGGCTCCTGCGCAAAGCGAGCCTTCGAAGCAGCATATAGATCTTCTTCAACCCCGAGCCCATTCTGTGCCAAAACATATGTCGGTTGCGGGAACATGTATTCGAGGCTGAGTAATGGAGCAAGCAACATCGACGTAGGCAAGACATCTGGTAAGGCCTTGGTGGTTACCACAACATAGTGATAGCGCCTGTCCACAGCCTCTGCAACAGAGTTGAATGCTAAACCAAAAATATACATTACTGTCCGCTTGACGAAGGCGCAGCAGAGTTACTTCTGAAGGGTTTCCATCCGGGGTGGTTCCCTAGTCTCCCACTTTCGATGTTGATTCCTCTTTCTGAAAGAAATCAGCAGCCAGGCACAGAAACTTATACTACCTCACCCTTGACAAGAGCGTAATTTCCACGGGCCACTGCAGTAACACGCGCTCGTCCAGAGTTCTCCAGGAAGTATGTGTCTGTTTTGGGTCAATGCGCTCAGCACTCAGCCGTGTTGAATCGCACGCACACATTACCCCCACAGCGCCATACCCGACAAGCAGAACATCGAGCAGTTGGGGAGAGGAAGACATTCTCCAGGTTGGGAAGCCGAAAACACAATCACTTGCACGAACATGGCATATTTAAGTACGGAATCAGAGCGGGACGGAGAATCCGTGATACAAAATCGCGCAATTCAGACGGCCGAACAATCGGCGAAACATATGCGCTCTCAGCGAATGAGCTCCATCTTGATCCCTCCCATGCTGTTCCTTTCCTCCTTTTTGCTCTTCTTCGGCACCTCCCACAACTTCCAGAACTTGATGTTCTCGTCCGCGGCACCACTGACCAATGTGGCGCCGTCCGGGCTCAGGGCGGCGTACAAGACTCGAGCATCATGCGCATTTTTGACTTCGTGTACTTGTGATAACGTGGGGTACTGATGAACCATGATCGAATTATTCGGAAATCCGTGGGTAGTAGCGAATTCCCTGGCATGAGGCGACCAGACAACATTCGTAATTTGAGAAGGCGTGACAAGGGAATGGAGGCGTGCGCCGGTTTGTGCAGACCAGAAGTGGAGAGTACAATCGGACGTTCCACCCCCGGTCGCAAGCAGAGAAGGCTGCCATGGACACCACGCCAAAGCCTGATATCAAATATTAGCAATTATCCCGCACGCCTACGGAAGAATCCTACCTTAACCGCTGCCGTATGGTTCCTCTTCATCCATTTAGGCTTGACGCTGAGGCAGCTCCCATCGTTACCAATGCCACCAGTTCTCCCCTCCCAAGCGTTGACGACATTGTCATTTCCACCGCTAGCAAGCATTTCGCCGTCCTCGCGCCATTTCAGGCCACAGACTTCGGCTGTATGGCCTAGGAGCTCCGAAACTTTATGTTTGGCGATCCGGACGTCATGGTGGAAGATGCTTCCATCAGCACAACCGCTACTCACAATGTGATCCCACCATGACAGAGATCCCACCTGCGCCTGATGCCCGGCCATGGATCGAAGTCTTTTCTGCTGCGCCACATCCCAGAGTTCTACTTCACCTGTCCCCAATCCAATGGCCAAGTAACTGCCATCCGCCGTCCAATCGAGAGACGCAATATAGGTATCGTCGGAAACCGTACCGAGGGCGTCCACTGTGCCGGTCTGGGCATTCCAAATATAGGTGGTATCCGATAACGCAACTGCAAGCATGTTCTTTGTCGACCATGACAGAAGATTAAGGTAATAATCGTCCATAAGCCCTGGGGCATCCAAAACTCTCTCCGCTGTGGCAGGGAGCTTTCGACCTTTGACTCCGGAGACTGCTGAGGTCGATGCCAGCAGACTGACCGCAGACCGAGCGTACAGAGGCTTGGCATGCTTTCGAGCTTCGTTTAGGCTAGGATCGGTGGTCGGCTGAGGTGCAGGTTGATGGAAGGAGAGAATTCGCTTGTTCAGCTCGATTCCACATGCCTGTGCAATGATTTGGGCAGTGCGTGGAGATGCGTCCTGTGCGACATTCGCCACATCAGCACCAAGTTGGGACCCTTTGGAAATGTTTCCATTGCGTGCAGGTATGAATCGGTCAGTCTGCACTAAATCAATACCCTCAGAGCTACTCAGACAAGCGGACGTACATGATCCTTCCTTTCCTTCTTCCCTTCCACTTTAACTCCTGCAATATCACACCGCACTATGTCCATACTGGCCAACAATTCTTTCTTCCTTTTCTCAAACTTCTGCTCATCCTTTGACTTCTGCAAGGAAATCTGTTTGGAAGCTGGTGCGAGGAACGGATTGGTGACGTCCGATTTGCCTATGTTATGTGAAGGAGTACGTGAGATAGAGATGTTGTTGAAATTAGTTGATATGTCATCAAGTGCTGTCTGACGACGCGAAGGTGTTTTCGACATGATGGTAAGGAGCGTTTAGAGTACAGGCAGCGCAATTGTATGGTGAAGGGAGAGGAGAGTCAGGACTAGGGACACAGAGAGTTGAACGCGCCTTCGGGTCACGCGCTCCATGGAAGTCAATGCTCCTATATCACGTGATGAGCTTCAATTTGTTGCGCATGCCGAACCTTCCAATACTCCAACATTGATATCAGTAACAGTAGTTCATGATATGGTATACATATTCACCCGATGGATTCAGTGGCCCACTATGAATGCGCACTCCAACCGCTTCCAATGGCCACTACAAGCCAAAGAACGCCAATCACCTGCACTACCCTCCACATAACCGATTCGTTTGATACCTTCTGTTCCGGCGTTTCTTCTTTTGACTCAGCTTTTGTATTTCCCTTTCGTTTTGCAGTGCCATGGAAGGTGTAATCATTGTATCGAGCGTAATACTGGTAGGATGCATGGAAATCGGGGCGAGATGGTCCTGGTCCTGGGCGTTGTGCGCGACGAGTACGTTCCCAGGCATGAGTTGCTCCGCGTCTTCTATTGAGATCCGTATGCATCCATGAAGCGTAAGCGGTAGAGGATGCAGGCTCGGCGTAAGAGCGGTTCTGCTGCAAGGACCGGTCATATTCTCGTCTGGAATGTTCTCAGCGATACAAATTCCACATCATGAACATCCGTACCTTCTTTTTTCGTCTCCCAACACGCTATAAGCTTCAGAGATCTTCAAATAGCGCTCCTTTGCTTCCTGGCGTTCAACGTAAGCGGAATATTATGAAAATATCAAATGTGAAACCTTGGATGGGTTTACATCAGGATGTAGCTCTTTAGAGAGCTGTCACAGATTGAGTCCAAAGGGCAAGTTCGGAGATGTGTGAATGCAAGCACCTTGTAAAAGCGGGCTTTAATCTGATTGCAGGGCGCAGATTTGGGCAAAGACAAAACCTCATAATGTGTTGCTCGCGTGACCATGCCTGTTCTCAACCCCCGATGCTGGACATTTATGCACAATCCAGGGCGGGAATAGAAGTTTTTTGACCTTAATCGCGGGGGCGATACTGTAGAAATGGTAATCATGAGATGACGGTAGGTGCCAAGCGACCAGTTCAAGTGAGAGTGGCGTCATGGGCGCCTAATATACCCTGGAAATCCACTTCAACCGTATCCACGTCGCCACAAACCAACATGTCGGGCGCGACAGCACGTCCCCCCCCTGTGCTGTCCTTTAAACTACTATCTGTCCCAGCTACTCCTTTCTCGCCTAGATTAGGGCTGGCCCGACTCATTCGGTCCTCCACTGAAGTTATTGATGTCGTCACTCCTGGTCTCTTCTTGCATACCTCGCGAGGACATGTGCCACATCTGTCTGTCGATCATATCTCACTAATGGCAAAACAGATGCCGTGGCTACATGCATCCTTCGAAGGCTTGTGAGTTGGAATTCCCCTTAATGTTCTCATTTTACTCTGCCTTGCCTGTTCGACATATATGTTGTGGAGGAATACGGCAGACTGACATTTTTTCCTCTGGTGATCCAGCTTAGAGACTCTTCCTCCCACTCCCACTCTCCAACCCGGACCCCAACCTCTTCATACTTTCTTTGGATTGCCTGCTGCAAGCCATATCATCTCCCTTTCCTTGCGAGATCCCGCCGACGTCCAAGAAAGACCGCCTGACGGAGATGATTATCTGTCGAGTATGACGATTAGGGGTGTTCGAAAGGTACGATCGTGAATGCACTGCCCATTCACGTTTTGCCAAATCTCTAAACTGCTCGACAGATCGAACCATCCTTCTATCGGTCGTATGTTTCCTGCGTGCAGCCTGATATAATCATCGCGCTGTCTGATATCCCCTTCACTCTGCCACCGTTTTCGCAGAAACGAATGACCAAAAGTATCGATCGAACCATACGATGGCTCGGTGAAATCCTGAAATCCCGTCCCTCGATGGAAATCACTGACAATATACGGGGTAATAATATTTTCGTCAGTCTCGTTGGTGGTACAAATGCTGCGGCCCGTAGGGCGTTCTCCCAAAATTTGCTCGGTCCTCTAGAGGAAGGCAGCAACCTGAGTAGTGTGCGACCACAAACGATACCACGCCTAGACGACCACATTTCTGGCTACGTATTGGAGATGGCCCAATTGAGGCTAGAACTCTCAGCCTCCCTATCTTGCGGTAACGACTCGAGTTCGACGAAGGAGCCGACTCAGGCTATCAATCAATTATTGAAAGCCTCGCTCTCGCCCCTCCCAGCCGACAAATTGCGTGTTGTTCACTCTTCGATATCGCCGCACGAAATGCTTAGGCTCATATCCTTATGCGGAATAGACTTGTTCGACAGCTATTGGGCACAGAAAGCAGCCGACTGGGGCATTGCGCTCGACTTTTCCTTCCCCGTTTCGACAAGCCGCGACGATACCGGACCAACCCGGCGAAGTGATGGCAAGCGAGACGTTGGCCATAATCTGTACCACACGGGTTATGCATTCGATTTTCGAGGTCTGGTTGGTGGTCCGATGCATGGATGTTCCTGTTTAGCTTGCGCACCATCATTTACAAAGCCGATCCCACATAGCTCGCTAGAGTTTGTCAATGACGGGTGCGAAGAAGATGCGCCGGCTTTTACGCGCGCGTACATCCACCATCTCCTGCACACGCATGAGATGTCAGCACACGCTCTGCTCGTCTCACACAACATCACAGTTCTTCAGGATTTCTTTGCTGCGATACGTTCGACTTTGAGCGCCGACGCTCCCCAGTTTGATACAGAGGTTGCTCGGTTCGAGACGGAGTATGATGGAGACATGCGGATAATTGAAGAAGGCAGGCGGGCTTGGGAAGAAGTTGATTGTGCCCGAGGGAAGGGTCGGCTGGCGCGAGAACGTGGCACCATTTGATGTTTAGTCCTAGAAAACCCCTCCGTACTATTAATTTCACCTTTTCCGGGGACAATGCACCCATTCAATAGCAAACTGCAACCCTTCAATGAAGCGGATTATCTTCGCACTTTGCCTTCAATTAGGGAACGATGCTCTGAGGTATTCGAGCTAGCCAAGGATGGCCAACTGCAGTTCTTCGACTATCACCCGGAGAAGGAAGGGCACGTTGTGGACTTTTGTGTTTCACTGATTCAGGTAACATGTTCTGAAGCGTGCACGTCGCGATGCTGACCCACAGTGTGCTTCAGCGTGACTATGGTAGCGACTACGCTTCTGTATGTGTAACCCAGAACACCGCGAAGCCTTCCTCATTCCCAGTAGATCCCACCGCACGGAAGATGGAGACACTTTGATGTTGGAGGGCATAAGCGAGTTGACAATCTCTTAAGAACATGGAGGGCAGACGCACTGGGAATCGACCAAGAAGAAATATGCAAGCGGCTCCTGGACTTGTTCTTAATATCGGTCTTGTTAGACGCCGGTGCCGGCGATGCATGGAAGTACCGAGAGACTAGCTCTGGTGAGATATATACGAGATCCGAAGGTCTAGCTATCGCCAGCCTGGAAATGTTCTCGTCTGGTCTTTTTTCCGGTCAAGGCTCCCCCTATCTTGTGGATGGTACGTTTGTGTTCGAAACCACACTTGTTGCACCTCTCACTAAGCAAACCCGGTAGCGGACGGTTTGGAACGCCTGACTCTGGAACAATTCTCGAATGCAATGCAGGTCGACCTTTCGACCAATCCTTTGGCGGGATTACAAGGTCGATATTCCCTCTTGTCTAAACTGGCTGAGGCACTCCGTTCTCATTCTGATTTTTTTGGGGGCCAAGCCAGACCTGGCAACTTGCTAAGTAAATATGTATGGCTCGTTTGTCACTTGCATCCCACTGATCACTAAGAATAGATTTCCTTGATTCTCAGAGACGGAATGAGCGAGACAACCCAAGATCCTCACTTCATGTCATGTTTCTGTGGCGTGTGATAATGGAGGGATTGGCGTCCATTTGGCCCGCTACTCGCACCAGGCTTGCTGGAGTCTCTCTTGGCGACGTGTGGCCCTGCGGGGCTCTTCAACTTGCTTTGCGGCGAAAGCAAGGCCCAGATGTTCCTGCAGGAGAAGATCTTGTGCCTTTCCACAAACTCAGCCAATGGCTCTGTTATTCATTGATCGAAGTGCTACAATCTATCATGGATTGGGAGATTGATGGAACAGAAGACATGACGGGACTTCCAGAGTATCGCAATGGTGATTGGGCGCTCCCATATCTTTGATGGTTGGTCCCGGCTGCTCACACACTACGGCTTTAGGGGGCCTCCTTGTTGATTTCGGTGTTCTATCGCTGAAGTCAGCTTCTCTATATGACCCTCATGGAGGCCTGCCCAGATTTCCAGCCTCTCACCCTGCAATAATTGAATGGCGAGGTATGCACTCACTCGACTGTCAGAGCATAGGCTAAAATTACTTCTACACCGCGTTGCAGCCATGACGGTGATCGAACTGTATGTTACATTGCCTTCTATCTCAAACATAATATTCAGATACTATACAGTGATCGCATTGCAAACGGGGTTCGATCTCAACTCTTGGGAGGCAGTGTGAGGCTGTCCTTGGCTCAGATATTGGAAGGTGCGACCTGGAAGGGGGGGCGAGAGATTGCCAAGGTAAGAAGGGTAAACGGGGGACCGCCGATCGAAATTGAGAGTGATGGGACCGTGTTTTGATGTAATTGGGGAGATTAGCCATGCTCTTTTGCTAGCTTGAAGGCAAAATAGCATGCAACCAGAGCACTGAACCCACCGAGACTGTTGACTATATGAAGCTTGTGCGTGTTTAGATCACGGCAGTGATACGCACCGAAGAATTACACCAATTGAATCCACATCTTGGGCGGTAGGCGTTACCGGGACTATGGTAACGGTGTCATTGGTACGGACGTTGAGTGCATCTTCTGTACGGTCATGAAGTGCAGCTTGATGAGAGGCTAACAGAGCAAAGACGATAGCGGACAGCCCGTTCACGAGGAACTGAGGGATTACGACGAAAATGTTGTGAATACCCTGGGACTTGCATTAGAGAGATATACATACTGTCAGGTAACAGCCTACCAGCATAATCCCCGCTTTCTCGGAAAGATGGTTGCTCTTACGCGGCCTCTCCACGTGGGCCACTTCGGTGCCTATATCAAGGGCGCCGGTACTGGGCAATTCCTGGTCAGGTTTGCCAGAGTGCATATTCATTCTGGAGCCGGTTTCCCGGATTGAGCACAACGCAACCCACATAAAAACACGCTTACTGCGGCAAGTCGATACCCTCGTCCTCATCTGTGGAGGAAATTAAGGCAGTCCGTTCGGCACTGCTACCAACAGCGCCAGGCATTTCACGGTCTTGGAGTGCAAACACTTCTTCTCCGACTACTGCTTCCACCTCTGCCTGAATGGCCTCGCCGAGCTGTGAGATAAGGGAAGGTGAGAAAGATAAACTCCGCATACTTGGTCATCAAAGCTGACCAAAGAAAATGGTGCCCAACTAGTGACTGCATACGGAATGCCCAGGACCGCCAATATGCAACTTGCCTCCCATACGGAATGCGTAATGCTGCGAATATTAACTCAGCGACACGACAGAATACGATATGGACCTACAAGGTCAAGAACATCATAACTGCGAAAAGTAGATGGCAGATGGCCCAAAGATAGGGGAGTGTAATAACACGTAGCACACGAATAGGGAGCCATGACGAGGGCCATGTTGCAGGTCGCTCGGACATAGCGGTTCGGGAGGCAAACGCATCCTCGGCGTACACCAGAAGGGCAGGCAATAGAATCATTGTGATGAGAACGACCACAGCTTGCCAAAAAAGGGCCTCAGATCCGATGCGCATTGCTTCAGACAAGATCTCAGGGTCATCTGGACTTCGACCTTTTGTCACCTGAGTTCGAGTGTAAATCTCGCCGACCCATTCAGACGAATAAAACAGTATGGGAAACCATGAAATCCAGTTGCTGTCATACATCAAGGACTGACAGCATCAGCAGATGCGCGCTCACAAAAATTGTATAATGCACTGCGCGCCAGATCAGAAGGATCGATACCTGATAAATAAAACGAAATGCTCACAATCCGACGGATGCGTGGCGGCAATGTTTGGATGTTGCGCCATATGTCCCCCATGTTTCGGAAAAGACCGGCTCGGGACCCGTCGTCTCTGCCGCGGTGTCAGCTTAGATTTTATGGTGAAACCTCAACCGCATACGTGTCATCAACAAGCACTTTCTCTGTGACACACACAGCTGTGAGGATGTGGGTACCCAACAGAATGATAGAACCGATGACCACCAGAACTTGCAGCTGGGTGCGCCCTAAGAATGGAAACCATGCAACAAGGTCCATGTAACCCCTGTCGATCGTCATCGACATACGCCTTGAGATCATAAGAGAAACATACATGAAAAAACCCAACACTCCTCCAAGGCCCATCAATCGCGCCGCCCAGGCATTTCCAAGCTCCTGCTCCGATGCAGGGAGCGTGTCTACTAACAACGCACGATCCATTGCTTGAACTAGATGCCTTCAGTACTTGTCGGTAAAGTTGGGGACTGGGTGAGCATACCTGCATTGATGGAAAAGTCAAGGAAGTAGATCGAAACAGTCGCAAAAATAACCGTGACCGATTGCCCCTCCTCATATTTAATTTCAGATTGGACGTTACACAGGTTACACGCACCAGCTGGGTGGAGGCATCCACCAAAATAGATACAAAGTTGCGTGTAAAGCCAAGGAGAAGTAGTGACCCAATGCTGATCATGCAGCCCGCCAACATGAAAGGTCGTCGACGACCCCAGCGCGATTTTGACCGATCAGCGAATACGCCTATTATTTTAGTGAACTTATGCAGGAGAGCACGACAACGAACTGACCAATCACTGGTTGCACAACGAGCCCAGAGAGCGGTCCCGCCACGAAAACAAGAGACATCAGCGCCTTCGAAACTCCCATAGTGAGAAGATATGGAAAGGCTAAAATAGCGATCATCAGGCCCTAGGGTATGCTTTGGCAATATCACCGCACACACCATAGCTCATTTCAATTGACCACGTCATTTGTAGACCCAGAAGACAAACGGTCAACAAGGACATTCTTGCCCATCTTGGTCCTCGGACGGATGCATAGCCAGACCACCGCCTGTGACCTTCCACTTCCTCTATCGTGGAAGGTAACCCAGCTGCGACCATGGCATGAGCAGACTCAGTCTGACTTTGTATTGACTGTTCACGAGAGTGCTGACGTTTTAGCAATTCAGTAAGGAGGCGTGTCAGGGTCCAATACTTTTGAGACACGGGGAAAAACAACCCCGCATCTGTGCTTCCGAGGGATAGAGAGTATATACATATCTAGTATAAAATCCAGGTTCCACCCCGGCTGCGGCTGTATAGTCTAGTCGTATGATACTCGCTTTGGGTAGTTTCTACTTGCGAGAGGTCCCGAGTTCAATTCTCGGTGCAGCCCTTTTTTTAAAAAACAATTCCTATTATTTATTTAGGCGTACTCGTCGAAGCTTGCAAACGTTGCGGTCATGGGAACAAGAGGCTTTTGTAGACACCTTCTTTTGGCCCCACAGAACGAAGCGCTCCTGTTCTTTCTCGGAGACGCAGCGCAAGAATGTATACATGAGTACTGATGAAAGTGACGCGGCCGGTAGAGAGATGGGACCCCCGCGTGAAGAAGGTGGAGATGTGGTAGGTGTTGTGCGGATGTGAGGTTATGATGGCACAGGTTGAGAGCGGGCAGAGAGGTCGCAAGGGCGGTAGCGTCTTCAGAGGATGGCAAGGGTAAATTCTCGTCAAACCGACACATGATAGTGCACCACACGGGTTTCCAAACTTATGTCAGCAAGGTTATCATTAGAATAAGTGAGGATCTTCGCGCTCTGTAGGTGGGTATCCAGTACGAATGATTCCCCACGTTTGACTTTGTTTATTGTCTGCAATGTTACTTCCCAAGGGGTAGCTACTGGTCAAGACCACCGTAAGCGTATGTCCATGTTGCTCTCGCTGCCAGCGAAGGTGCCACAGTCTCAGGCTTCAGGCATCGAAGTGAGGGTCCGAAAGAGAGACGGGAACGAAGAGTATAGACGAGAAAAGTAGTAAGTAGCATGTAGGTTGACCCGGATCGGAGGCAAAAGACCTTTAGGAAATATAGAAAGAGCTTGATTGCCCATAGCATTGCTTAAATAAATGATTCGCTTAGTTAAAAATATTAATTCGCTTAGTTAAAAATATGATATTATCACCCGACCACTAACCCTAACCCTAACCCCTACCCCACCCTAATCTCAACCACTCTAACCTGCTGGATGGGATCCTAACCAGTACCCTAACATAGTGCAAGAATTCCCTTTTTCGGAAATTACGGAGGTAGATTGCCTCATATGGGCACATTACTACATGCTACTTACTACTTTTCATCATATGTATAAAATCTGACATTCGAGCTCAAGCTTATTATCAGTCAGCTTATGATAGTCACTGTAGTCAGCAGAGCAGAGTGTTTCTGGTGGAATCAAATTACTTCTATATCATGTGAAAGAGCTCTCACTTGATCTGGCCATAAAGTGATGAGGATGATGTGCTAGTGTGGAGTGCTGCTTCCCTTCCTCCCTCCAGTCAGGGGAATCAGAATTGGGTGCAAACAGGAGTGCAACAGGGAAAGTGTGTTTTGGAGAAAGTGAGACAAGTTGAAAGCAAGTAGAAAAAGTATATGCTAATCATGGATTGCTGTGCAGAAAGTGTATCAACAGGAGAGATATGAGACACTAGAAGGACTTCAAGCACACTCCTCAAACTGCAATACTAGACCAAGTAAAGCATACCCAGCATTATTGAGGCCTGGTTGTGAGCCATTCACCCCAGGTCAAAATTTTGTTCTTTGGGTATTTAAATGTATAAGAGACAGGGCCACCCCTGGTGGTGAACATCCTCAACAAATCAGAAGGGAGTACTTCCTCTGGTATACTTGCCTGCATCAGGAGGGTTTACACCCCAATGAAAAATGGCCAATCAGCTAAAAAAAGACAATTGTTTGGCAGTGCTGGCCTGCTTCAGAAGACTGGTATGGGGTTCAGACAAGGTTGGTGACAAAGAATGTGAGGTAGTGGGGGTGTCCACAACAATCAAAACACATTGGGGACATTCCTGTACAACTTTGAACGCACACAATTCTCTCTGCCTTCCTGCACCTAGCACGTGCCTAGGCCATTTGTATGGCACTTTTTGGCATGTAGAGCCAGGAAAAATGTGTGCAGGAAGAAGATGAGGAATATGCTCCTCTCAACACAGCACACATGAGTTCCCTCCAATATATCAAGCTATAGTTGCATGGTTTTGAAACCCTCAGTTACTGATGCCTTTAGCAGTGGTGAGGAAGGGAGTTTATAAAGGGGAACCCATCATGCACCAAAGCACTGCCCTCACTGTCCACACTATGCTTCTCAGTCCTTGCTGTCCTTCATCCCTTGGTGCCTTCATTGCTTGCCCACAGTTGGTTGGTGAAAGGGCCTCTGTATAGGCCCTCACTCATTGATGGTTCAGTCTAATGAAGTATGACTCAGAAGTACTGATAAGACTGTTCTGTATTAGAGAAAGCATCTAGACATAGTTTCTAGTGACAATGGTGAGGAAAGAGGAAAGAGGCTAGGCCTGCAAACAAGTAGGGCCTAGCAACAGAAGCAAACAGATGGAGATGTGCAATGCAGATAAGGGAGTCCAGGAAGAGATACAAGACAGAATAGATAAGTAAGGAGGACCCTTACAGCTGGTTCCTCTCCAGCCCACTGGTCTCTTACTTGCCATCCTCCCCCCCCCCTCAACATAATAGTTGAGGGTGGGGACCATTCCTGGCTTGTGCTCCTGACCAGACATGCAAGAACAAGCTGTAGGCAGTATGTATGTGAAAGATTAGGTGTGGTAATTCGCAAGTGAAAGTATTATTATTATTATTATTATTATTATTATTATTATTATTATTATTATTATTATTATTATTATTATTATTATTATTATTATTATTATTATTATTATTATTATTATTATTATTATTATTATTATTATTATTATTATTATTATTATTATTATTATTATTATTATTATTATTATTATTATTATTATTATTATTATTATT